TGCATTGGCATCTTAAGTGAATGTTTGAACCTTCTGTGACATACACAATGCTATATAGCCATACTGTCTTAGTGCTTTCCTTTGATACTTCTTACTGCCAAGCAGAATTTGGAGTGAGTTTGTGTCAAGTCACATGGCATGCTCATCGTGTATCATTGTATCCTTTAAGACCACGGACCAATCAATGTTTTCCTGTCTCATTCTTCAGTAAATTGCTTTTCTGAAAGGAATACTGTACTGTAGTAATTCTACATTTTGCTGCAGACAGTATAGCAAGACTTTATCAGTTGTAAAGAGTTATTGTGATGAAATTTGCTATGAAATAATCCATATAATTGATAGAATTTTCCACAATGTATAAAGTTTTTAGTTTTAACAGGCCAAACTTCCCTTATTTAAGGATTATAGGTGAAACTCCTATGGGTATAGTACTTTGCAATAAAACAATGGAGTTCAGTACAGTAGTTCTGTATATAGCACTTTTAATACATGTTGGTTTCTTACTTAAAGAAGTGAAAAACTGAAGTTCAGATACTTTAGTAGTGTCTCAGTTAAGGTATAAGTTGTCGGTATAAGAAATACAGTGCCAATGATCCAGCCTTCTGTAGATGGTAACAGTATTAACTCTTCCAAAATGTATAGAAAAATACAGCCACTTTCTTTATTTTGTATCGTAATTATATTGATCACAGCAGTTGGAGATGTGTGATTACATGCACATCCATCCAAAATGTGTTAACTTCATTGGAGTTCTTGGCTATCTAATGCTCATCTGGATATGTGAACTGCCATTGATTCATTATAAGTGAATACTTAACATGAAAAAATAATTGTAAACTTGTAAGAATATCATCAGGGTGTGTTAGACATCATCTGGTCATAATCTGTCAAGTCTGCCCAGTTGATGTGTGGTGTACGTAACAGAGCCTATTAAGAACGCCTCGAGTTTCATTACATATAATTTTTATATGATTTTTCCTTTTAAATAAGTATTATTTCTTTAAACTAGTCTACCTGTTTCTTAAAATATATAAATATTAAGGATTGGAGGTATATTATTACTTTGAGAGCATTGCTCATCACTGTTGTTGACATGCACTTTTATAGTATATAAACTTTAACATCTGAGGGTTACTGATGTTTAAAACAGATTATTTCCAAAATATTTATAGTGCTTGAATGATTGGTATTAGTATTAATATGACATGTTCAATAATTTAGGCTGTATTTAAATGTACCCATTTGTAGTTGCTGATTAGTGTACCCATCCATATTACTTGCTACTCAAATGAAGAGGGGACCTGGCTCAGCCTCTACCATAGCTTCAATCCTCTAGTGGGGCCTTAATCCTAGACAGAGCCTGTAACTGTCATACATGAAATGAGCAACAGAGAACACAAGGGCTAAATATTATATTTCATATTTCAAATGTAATAAATTTACTTTTCTTTAGCTAATTGAATAATTTTTGTTACAGCTACGTAAAGTTAACATGGGCTTATTTACAGCTTCTCCACTTTGGTACAGTAATAAAATTACGAATCGGTAGCATTAGAACTTTCCGTGAAAAATTACTCCCATTCTACTGTTATACTTTATATAAAAAAAATTCTTGGGGACACTTACTACAATGCCATAGTGCTTGAATGAAGATGAATAGAACACCCAATATATATGGAAATGTATTAAACAACACATTTTTGGATGTAACCTACATCCTTTCTTAAGGTACTCTATACAATAACATTATATCCAGCACCTTGAGGAAGGATGTAGGTTACATCCAAAAATTAGTTTTTTAATACACTTTACATACATATTGTGTCTCTTCTTCATCTTTAATCATTTTCTTAATTTCATGAAAAATGCTGAACTGTATATAGTAAAACACAGAGGCTAATATTTTTTTCAGGCAAATATGTATACTTGATAAATATTAAATATTTATTTGAAATTCTGAAATGTATGTCAGTAATATATACACTACAATTAGTTCAATGTCAGATTACCTGAGTAGTTCCCTATGGTTAGGTTGTTATGGTGTAAGATATATCCACTGCCAGGATTATTAAGGTGCAATTTACCATAGATTCTAATCACCAAGTATATTTTAATCCCATAGTGTGTTCAGGATTAAAGTAAACTCAGTATATATACACTGTTAAATACACCTCATTGTATGCACCCTGTATGATTTCTCTAGTTACTCTTTTGATTACTAGATTTTATTAAGTTATAAAAACCACTTATGTTTTATAAAACCAAATTTAAAGATGAAAATAACTTTCAAGCCGAGTATGAAATTAGTAACTGGTGTAACTGGTGTGGAAAGACCAGCTCGGAACATTGCCCCTCTGTGTCTGCCTCCGTCTAGGCTGCAGAACTCACTGTATGTGTCTGTGATCGAGTCTGTATTAGTAATAAGTTTAATGTTAAGGACTATTACTATTTATGTGTTGACTTTTGCTGAGTCTATTGTAAGAATAGATTTATCAAGAGATTGTTAAAGCAAGATGACTGTTGTATATTGGCTATTGTATGATTGATTTTCAGTACAGATGTACTGTACTGTATTAAAATTGTATGATATTCTGATGTACTTATTTACCATCATTCTTATTTACATACACATTGAGTACATCAGCACAACTATCTTTCAATTTGTAACTATCCTTTTAAAACCAAACGATCACATTCACTCCAAACATCTACCACCTACGGGCTACTCTTGTCCCAGCCCGTCCTCCAAAAATGGGGTGGTAAATGTAAGAAGACAATTAAGTGCAATTATGTACTATTCATAGCAGTTAGGAATTGTACTTATTTTCACTTAGTATTAAATCGTAGTCAAATATATTGTGAATATTTGAGTTTACCTGAAAAACTGAATAGAAAACCACAACCTCACCTAACTGTCTTAGTTTTTGAAGATAATAATAATAATAATAATAATTTTTTATTTAGGTAAGGTACATACATAAAGAGATTTTACAAAGTTTGTTGGCTTTATAGATAGAGCTAGTACATACAATGCCTAAAGCCACTATTACGCAAAGCGTTTCGGGCAGCAATAATAATTTTATTTCGTTTCGGGAAGCAATAATAATTTTATTGCTTCCTAATTACAATTAGTACTTAACTTATAGCTATATTGATATTACAGTTTTATAAAACTAATAAAACAAAATTTATTTATTTATTTATTTATTTATTTATGCATATAGAAGAATGTACATAAGGAATGTGAGGATACAAATATGGTAATTACAGTCTTGTAAAGCCACTAGCACGCGCAGCGTTTCGGGCAGGTCCTTAATCTAAGAAAATTTTAAGGAGGTAAATACTTGCAAAAATTATAGACAAAAAAATGATAACAGATTACATGAAATGAAAAAAAGATGAGAGAAAATTGTTGGTACAGTATATTAAAGCACATAGGTAGCTGAGATTGATTGCAATGACAGCTTGAATGGTAGTTGACAAAAAAATTGGTAGGCAGAAACAATATAAGATTGGTTGCAATGACAGCTTGAATGGTAGTTGACAAAAATTGGTAGTCACAATACAGCATATGGCTAGCACATAGAAGAAGACAGCAATGAACACAATGATAAGGTTGTTGAAAACTAAAATATATCAATAAATTTTAAATTAACTCAGGATATTTTAAAATTTTGCATAAAATCTATGTTGTACAGAAGGTTGATATGCCAGCAAACACTTTCCAGAGAGCAATATATCTTGGATAAGTCGCTCCACGATATTGTTGCTTGGACCATCGACTTCCTTTGATATTACATATTTACATCTTATTTTGTTATGAAATGATATTTTTTCAGAGTAAAATTATGTTTTCTCATTTTCTGCATCCAGCATCCACATTATAGTGAGTAAATATACCATATTACTTCATTGCTTACGTAATGCTAGGAAGGTTTGAGTAGCTTTGGGTCTTTAGTGGACAGAATCTCTAATAGATGGGGCGAGAGTCGCCCCATCTCTCTCGACCGGGCGGGACTCGAAACTTAAATTAAAATTGCTATATCATTGGTCTCCAACATGATATATTTCCTTTGATGCACTCACAATAACGATTATAGCTCTGTCTTTCTGGAGGCATGTAATATTTTAGGCTTTATTAGCGTATCTTTGTTAATTACACAACATATTGGCAAGTGCGTAGGCGTCTGCACTCCATGACCAAAAAGCTACTGAACGCCACTATAAAAACATATATATCTTCACTTGAGCTTTAAATATGTCTAATGTAATGTATTTAAAATAAAGCTTATATTTCTCTCTTTCTTAAGACGTGTAAAACATTTGTGTTTATTAACGAATATACGTAAATTAACCATTCTTCTGAGAGAGTTGCTCTGTCGCTCAGTCTATGAGGGGGTCGGAGCTCGGCGATTATTAAAATACATGAATCTTCATTAGAACTTTAATTATGTCTATGATAAAGTGTTTAAAATGAGCCTTATATTCCTATCTTTCTTGAGGCATATAAAAAATTTACGATTATTTACAAATTTACGTGAAATAAGCATTGTTCTGAGAGAGAGTTGCACCGTCGATCGATCTGTCCGGAGTCGGAGCTCGGTTATTATAAAAGTACACGTATCTTCGCTTTAAATTTAAATATGCCCATGGTAAGGTATTTAGAACGAAGCTTATATATCTGTCTTTCTTATGACATATAAAACTCTTACGTTTATTAAGGAATCTGCGTGAAATAGGCATGGTTCTGAGATGAATGCTGCGGTTCTCGAGTTTGACGAGCGATGAAAACTGCCACTTTTATACAACTACAAATATCTTCGGTTTTACTTAAAATATTTGTCTGGTAGAGGTTTTACATATAGATCGCGTTTCTGTCTTTCTTCTGACTAATAAATAATTTTGGTTTAATCAGTTATCAAGATGTTTTCAACAATATTCTTTCAGCGTTCGTCTTTTCCAACTTGGGCGACCCTTTTGGAGGCGCGATACTTGGGTTAACCCATCCTATAGTTGGGTCTGTTTCCAACTGGGGTTCGAATAATTATACCAGTGCTCCCTGACAGAGGCCAGCCAAGTCAACATCAGTGTTGACGCCAGGCCGCAGAGACCACTTCTCTGCTGTTTTTTTACCTTAATCTCGCCCAAAGGTAACCTAGACGTTCCTGATAGTTACTTACATGTATATTTATTGATTGTGACTCGTTTAAGGAGTATAAAAGTAGCTACTTGTGCGTATATATGGTGTGTGTGGGGGAGAGACTGGCCACCGTTACTTGGCCAGTCACACAGAGTGCAAAAGTTAATCTGAGATTGTAATGAATAATTAATTTTCTCCAGACCTATGTAGTAGGTCTGAGCTCAGCTATGTAGATATGAGCTCAGCTATGTAGATATGGGCTCATGGTTTTACCTGAGGGCCAACATCTCTCGTGGCCTCGAAGGGAACAGGAAGTCGGCGGCTTGTCAAAGGTCTCCCCATTTTCCCTGGTGGATACTGGTCAATTAGGTTCTGTGGTATTTGATGCCTGATAAAATTTGGATTTATTGAATGAGGAGCGCTGTGATAATTTTGTTTATCCTACAGTAGCATGGAGATCCTTGTATGACAGTCAGATCTCATACAGGGATTTTTTATGCTTGCAATAGAACCTCTGTGGACTTGGAACAACTATATAACTCTCAATATAGTTGCTGTATATAATATATAGTTGCTTCTTGAACTATATAACTCAATATAGTTGCTAGAGCTCATTTGAGAGTTAAAACAATATACATTATATCAATAGGTTAGGCTAAGTTATGTCTGTTTTGTTTTGCATGGTTTAGTTTAATTTGGTTAGTGTAGGTTGGTTTTAAAATGTTTGTGAATTGTATTAATGGCAGCAGTTTTGGGAGTGTGTGGAACTTTGATCGTGATCCTTAGGTAGAAGTGCCCAGTTCCAATAATTCTCCCGCTTCTTGGTTATTAGTTGGTCAGTAATGTGTAGAACACATTTCTGCTGTTAATAAATTTAAGACGGCAGGCTTTCCTTCCTGTTATTGACAGTCCTAATATGGGGTCAAGGATACAGGTCACTTTGTGTCCAAGATTGTTTGCCAATAAATCTTAAAACCTACCCACTCCAACCCAACCCATTCCAGCCTAATATAAGCTAACTCGGCCTAACCTAGCCTTAGGATACATACCAGTATCCTTAGTTCCTTGACAAAGACAGGAAGCTGGCAGTTTGTGAAACGTCCCCCAATTTGTCCTGATGATTTAATACAGTATAGCTGTATTTTGAATTGCAGCAGCGTTCTGGCATTTATGGCATCAACGGGTAGCTCGTTCGGAAGATTTATAATCCTATACAGTAGTTGAAAGTGCATCTCCTATTATCTGTCGTACATTGTGGCTTCTTGAGCTTGAAGTTGTTGCTCCTTGTTTGTTTTACCTTATAAGGAAGTTTAAGCTACTTTTTAAAGCTGGATCAACATCCTCCAAATTGTTCAATACTTTGTTTCAATGAGGTCAGCCCCTATTAATATCTGGTTAGCAGTGTTGCTAGTCCTGTGGCCCTCAAGCATTCCTGGTATGAGAGTTGACTTGGTTTTGGGATGTTTTTGTGGCCCAGTGTTTTTCTCCAAAGCAGCTATACATTATTTTTCTGTTGGCGAGATCTTCATGATAGGTGCATTCCCATTTGGACTACTGTATCCAAAGATTTGTTCAGCTGAATAACTACCTTCTTTTCCTTGAAGTCAAAGGTTAAGATTTGATTTAAATTTGCAAGGTAGCATGGCATATTTTATGGTTTGGTGTTACTATGCTTTTAAATTTTTGGAATGGCTTATGTTGACTGACTCCCATTCTTAAGATTGAATGGCACCAGTCATCAGCCACATGAATTTTGCTAAGGAATTAACAGATTTCCTTAAACTGGTTGCTAGTATTATTTGTTAGGCACTGTAACCATGTGGTTATTTCTAAGGTGACAAAAATTTTCAGGCTAAGTGTTTATGAGAACAAACGTGGATAGCGATACTGACCAAAGTGGCTCCAACGACGGTGTAAAGGCCATGGACACGTCAGAATGGTTAGAGGAAACGGGAAAGATGCACATACACCGTGCTGACATGAACAAGCTCATTATGAATTACCTCGTCATGGGTAAGCTCACTCTTTTTTGGTTATGAATAATGCTCTTACAGAAGCATATAATAGATATGTATTAATTCAACAACATTTACTGTAATTGAATGTAACAACAATTTAAGTCTTCAATTGTATTGGAATATTCTGTATTGTAAGGGATTTTATCTAATATAGTACAGTACTTAATTAAAATAATTTTGTTATCAGTAATATGTATTTGTATATATATATACGGTGTGTATTTTAATGGGAAAGTAGTTGTTAAACTCATGTCTACATTGTCAGACTTATTTTGGAATGCATGATTTCAGTAATTACTCTTAAATCTTATAATACCAATTTGATTGTATTTACCCAAATTTACCTGAGGTCCACTATCTTTCTTTAGTGGCCTCAGTGGAGATAGGAAGCTGGCTGGTTATCAATGGTCTTCCCATTATTCTGAACATGCAAAAAATGTCCAAATAATGTAGCGGAAACAAATAACTCGACCAACATGTATGAAATAAAATGAGTCATGACATTAAAGTTCATCCTAAACTCTCAAGTCAGGATTTGATAAGGGTCGGAATGAACCAAAACGTCATCACTTTCATTTAATATGTGAGCGTTGGGTTATTTGTATCTGAGCATTTAATGCAGCATTTTATGGTAACATTTATATGTACCACTATTAAGTGTTAGCTTTGTAAATTATTTAACTGCTTTCAGAGGGGTTCAAAGAAGCAGCTGAAAAATTTTCCATTGAAGCCAACATAAAGCCACCAATGGATTTAGATCAGTTGGATGAACGGATTCGTATCAGATCGGCCATACAGACTGGGCACTTCCAGGATGCTATGAGAATGGTGACAGCACTTCATCCAGAGATCCTTGATGATAATTCCCAGCTCTACTTCCACCTCCAGGTATGTTACTGGATTTAGCCCTCTGAGCACTGGATGTTGCCACTAGAAATGGATCATACATCAGCAAAATGGTGTAGATTGGTATTTCACCAGATGTGGCTGCCAGTACAGTATCTGTAAATTGGTGTAATTGTTTAAAATTAATATACAGTAAAATAAAAATGTGCCTTTAGTAATGGATAGAAGTTTCGGTTGCCATATGCAGGACTTATTGTGGATATTTACGTATATTGGTCATGTAGAGCTGTGATGAATTTAAGATTCACGTCTATTGGTACCCCATGTTAAGTGATGCCTATCTATTGATTTACAGTATTCTGATCATTTCTTGGTAAGAATAATTTGCATGGAACTATTACTCTCAACCCAGTCACTTCCATTGTTGGCCATGTTAAGCATACTTTATTGGTCTTGTCCATTTAACACTGAGAAAATGCACAGTAGCCAAAGCTCCACAAGACTATACGCTTGAGGAAGCCCTTTCTTTAAGTTACTCCATGTAATGTTAGATTAGCAATAAACACCACCATATTTGAAATGTTCACCTGATTGTGTTACAGCAACAGGTATTGATCGAATTGATCCGGGAGGGTCGTGTTGAGGAAGCTGTGGTATATGCTCAAGATCATTTAGCGGAGAGGGGCCAGCGAGACCCATCCATCCTGAATGAATTGGAGCGAACTTTAGCACTCTTGGCTTTTGATCAACCAGATACCTCTCCGTTTGGTGATCTACTGCACCCTTCTCACCGACAAAAGGTTTGTTTCAAAATTGTTGTTACTATCTTATGGAGATCAAGATCAAGAGAGCAATGTTTTGTTTTAATTTACATGTGTTGCAACCACTGGGTGTATCGATATGGAAATTGTTCTGTATCATTGTTATTAATTGGAGACACGTTTTATATTTTTTGGAAATCATACAAAGTTAAAGATACAAGTTAGGTTTTGACCAAATTGACCATGGTATTACTAGTACATAATATAACAAATTTCATTGATTAAAAAGTTGTAAAGATTTTTTTGGTAATTACCCTAAATAGATATTTATATTTTGTTTGCCTAAATCTTTGTCATGTTATCATGATATTAATACAGTACTGTACTTGAATGTATTTTCATTTTTTTTTTAATTAAAATAACCATTTATTAGTGGTATCTCTGATTCAGTGGGAAAATCTATACACTGAAACCTAAGATTAATAGTTAGTAAAATTAACAATATTGAAAGAAATACAGTATACATGATGGCAAAGTCTCCTACTCAGAGGTGGGTCTTAAACACATTATTTATAATCCAAGCACAACCCGTTCACACTGGTGTCACCATTATGGACTGAATGATGGGAAGGTACATCATTGTTTGGATATATATTTGAGATAAACATGGATATCTTGAAAACTGGGGAATAATTACATGGTATTGTACAACAGGAACTTGAAACTAATGTTCCTTTGCTCAGTGGAGAGTAAATTGTGAAACTGATGCTTCTGTTATAGGGTCTCTTGGCAATTATTTAAGCGTCTTCAGGCTAGTTCGACCTATATTGGTATATTAAAAAATTCACTAACGGATCAGTATTCTGATCCATAAAAAACAATGCCCCCAAAATTAAGATACATTTTAAGGTGTTCAAAATAGTAATGTAATATATACTCTTATCATTCAGGTTGCCAGTGAACTAAATGCGGCCATTCTACGTGCTCAGAATCAGGAAGAAACGACTCCACTTTTAGCTGAACTACTAAAGCTACTTCTTTGGGCGCAGGATGAACTCAACAAGAAAAAGGTCCAATACCCAGTAATGACAGATTTGATTAAAGGACAGATTGAGGAACCAAAATGAGCCTTTCTTGTGATCACATGTAAGTTTTCCCGAATTTAATAATAGCATGACAATAGGTGCGTCTTATTTATGCCTGTTGTAAGTTTCAGAATCTTGTGATAATACATTTTGTATTCTTTGTATTTTGTTGTACCTGAAAATGTATGCAGTTTTGATCTTGTCATTGTTAGGCACATGAGACTGTTTTGTACATGACATCATACATTGCCAAAAGTTATCGGCAGCAGGCTGGCCTAGTGGATTCTTACTCTTGATAAAATGGCTCTAAAAAATCAAATGGATACAATAACATTTAGTGGCCATATTAGACCATATATTTTCTTAACATAACCAATTGATATATATATATACAAACACATTCGTGCACATATACACGGTATATATTTCAAATGATTACTAATTATTGTATGACGTTTGTTTGAAGCGTTATTGTTAAACAAGTTTTTAGTTTCAATGCAAATTTAGAAATGCATGCTACTGATGTGCATTTTACAGTTCATAAATTACATTTTACAATACTGCACATAAAATAGCCTAAAATATTACAAGATTTTTGTCTATCATTGCTTGCATAATTGTGATTTATCATTTAACGTATTTTGTTCTTAAACATAACTAAATATTATGTTGATGTTGAAATAAATATCTGGAAAAGGTGTGAAGAAACATACCTTTTAGCTTAAAAGGAGGAATAAAATATGATAAAGAAAGATTTTTCTTTTGGTCCTAAAATTCATGTGGTTTCCATTTGCCAATGTGTGGGAGAGGAAGCTCATTAGGCTAATAACTGACCACCTTCAAGATGCAACCCACTACAGTTGCCTAACTCCCAGGTATTTATTATCTGCTAGGTGAACACAATCATCACGAGTATGCAAGAATAACTGCAAATACATTATTTAGTTGTGTGTAAATAACCATGTGAAATGCACTGAAAGCAGTGCATTTCACATGGCTGTTTACCTTTTTGAAGTTGTTTGGATCAATACCCTCAATACCCTCCGACTGATAAAGATTAAGCCATCCAAGAGGTGACATGGACTGTACACAGTGATCCAGTCGTCGAACTTCTCTGCTCAAATTATCGCAAATTTAATTTATGATGTTAACAAGTAGAATGCGTATTTTTAATCAAATCTAACGATATTAACAAGTAGAATGCGTATTTTTAATCAAATCTAACATAACTAGCCAGAAAACGTTAAAGATTATTTAAAAATACATGGTTGGAAGTTAAATCAACTCCATAGAACAATATTTTTGTTATAGATTACTAATCGTTATTTGTTGGTATGCGTTCGCTACTTAAACTATCATGTACAGTACTGTATTTATGTAAAATCTCCCTGTTTCTTCGGACATGGAACACGGAACCTTACATGCTCTCTGATTTACTGTTTAATAGAGATTCACAAATAAGCTTATGATTGTATACGTTATCAAAAAGGCAGTGACAAAGTCAATTTTGCATTTTAATCACAGAGATTAGATCTTAGTGAGATAGGAAAGATATTCATATTTTAAAGAAGGATTTTTGAACCATCGCTCTCCCTATCGATAGAAACTAACTTTTTTTTTTTATTATTAACAAGCTTAGGTATACACAGTAATGTGCTGCTACCCTATTCTATATGAAAGATTACACAGTGTATATCAAAAACTAGCTATAAGTTCATTAAACATTCCCATCTCACAGGATGGTTAGTTATACATGGAATCAGGGGATAAAAGACCAGCCTCAATAAAAAAAAAATCAACTGTGACTAACAAGAACACCACTTACGGGCTATTCATGCCCGTGCTACCTTTTGGGTGGCTTAATCCTCATCAATCAATCACAAGAAACAAGGGATAGATCTCCCGTCACGCAGGGTCCAGTCGCACCTCCACAGATCTCCAGTATCATCTATTGATACTGTTAATGGTTCAAGAGGACTACCACTTACAGGCCTACCTCAAGGTAACAATCAGGTGAGAACATAAAATATAAGGCTGATCTATTAGCCTCCGTTAGCAAAATCCGGGTACAGCATAAGAATATCTTCCAATATTCCTAAGTGTATGAAGTAATTACAGAGTTCCAAGTACCTTATACCATTTGGTCTGAAGTCACTTATAACAGGGCAATCACAGATATAGTGTTGGTGAGTATGTCCCAGCTCTTGTTCACATAGTTTACAATTGGAATATTCACCATTGGGGGCTATTCATTACCTGCAGCCACCTGCGATACATATCGATATCCTAGCCTAATTCTGGCAATTACAATGTCACACTGTCATTGTGACACTAGTGGAAGTTTTATGCTGTCCGTTCATATAATTCTCGATTCTAAACATGTTTACTTAGTTTAGTTCATTAATTATGCACCCCATATATCATCTTGTGGGCGGTAGTGGAAAAGGTTACAGAGGCACATAAACATGTCATAGCTCTTTATACTCTTGCTTTCTGGCTTTTGTGTGTCAGTGACTGCTCTTCTGTCTTCCCTAATTTCCCAAAATATTGCGGCTTTGACAGAAGAGATTGGAATGCCCATATCCCACTCAACTTCAGGCTTATCACATTCAGTTTTAGCTGCCTTGTTTGTGTCATCATGCTGGACAACACCTATATGAGAAGGTATCCATACAAATGAGACTTTGAAACTCCTACTGTTTGCAATAATAATGTTGTTTATAATGGAAGTTACAACTACAACCTTTTGAAGATCAATGCTAATTTTATCTAGATAATGTAATAAACGAAAGTTTTCTATGTCAACAGAAAGGCAGAAATATAAGCTACACTTTAAATACTTGTCATAAATATAACTGAAGTGAAAGCGAAGATATATGCATTTGATACTGTACAGTTTCTTGATGGCTTGCTCTAAGAGTGTGAAGCCCTTCACACCAGCCTATAAATTGTGTAATTTATTTCCATATATGCTAATTAACGTTAAAATCTATATGTCAGAAGGAAGGAAGATGTAGACGTTAATGTGACAACATTTCAAGAAATATCTCTCTCTTTAAAGTTAAATAATACAATCCTATCGCCGGTGTCCGGACACATGAAAGCTACTTAGGTATCAGTGGCCAGCCAGGTGGAGATCACAGGCTGTACAATACTGATAAATTATGTAATTCACAGAGATACGTTGATAAATATTAATGTTTTATATTTTATTAAAAATACAGATATATACTTTGTTTCATACGTTAAATGTAACAATATTTCAGTATATATTATATAAGCATAGTATATATAATTCAGTATATACAATATATAATAAGAGTGTCAGACCACGGAGGAAGAATTGAAACAGGAATTTCCTTTAGTACTTTCTTATATTAATACATCTTCAGAGCGAACCATTCCTTCTGAAGATGTATTAATATACGAAAGTACTTAGAGCATTCTATTGTGGTTTTAATATTGAACAATTATACATATACGAAACAGACAAATCTGGTGTCCGAAATAGTAGTTAGGACAACGAGGTAATCACATCTAGAGCTGAATTGTCCTGAAGGCGACGAAGTGTCGGAAACGCAAGCTGTAAGTCCTGTACTGCGCAAAGGGCTTGAGTCGGCCGAGTATCAAAATGCAGTGAACGTGTAGATGAATCTGATGACAGAGCAGCTGTCGTGGGCGTAGGACAAGCAGTGCCCTGGCAGCGACGGAGAGTCGGCAGGACAAGCTGAAGATCCAGCATGATGTAATCATTGATGAGGCTGTCAGATGAGTGAGTAACGATCGTGGAGCAGCAAGCCGTAGTAGATGAAACTGCAGAGATGGACGCGATGAAAATCATAGCTGTGGCGAGGGTGTTGGCAGTATTCCATCACAGCAAACAGTAGCACTAGAGGTCCAGTGAGAGTCCATGTTGTAGTCCATGGTGGCTGGGTATCGTCGAAACTTCGTGAAGGTCGAAAATAGCCTCCATCTGCATGAACCAAAATTCTGGCTCATCTGCGTTGTATGCTGGAAACCTGGTAGATAAATCCATGACGAAGATCTAGTTTGTGACTAGGTGTTCTTTTCACTCACTGGGTGGGCGCTCATGTACTTGTGCGCTAGCTGGCGTTCACAACTGTTCTCGCCTACAAGCATTAGAATTAAACAAACGATTTTATTTTTTCATTTATATACAAGAAGAGAAGGCTACTCTTGAGTCTGTAATATTCATCTGATCACTGGTCTCCCATTTGGTCCTCATTGATTTATCTTACTATTATTGAATGTCAATAACCGTATTATGCAATTTCAATTTCTTCTATTTCTTTCTTTATTATGCACCCCATACCCATCCCGTGGGCGGTGGTGTAAAGGATTACTGAGGCACATAATCGGTTCAGGAACTGAACCCTCTAGTTCGGTTAGCTAAGCAAGTAACAGTGTTTGACGCTAGTTACAAAATTATTAATGTTGTATACACATGTACACACACTCATACATACATGTACACACACACACACACACACACACACACACACTGTTATACTGTACTGTACAATACTGTTACTGTAATTCTGTTAATTACTGTTAATACTGTTACTGTTTACTGTAATAAACTTTATATATTTACATGTTCTGCAGAATTTACTCTTCAATAAACTTTAAAGCCCCATACTGCCAGTATCTTTCTCCCCCTGATCAGAAAAAGACTTAAAAGCTCCAGGTGTGGACAGAATTCAATCCAATTAACTCGTTAGGGAACTGGTAAATGAACTATGTCTACCACTAAACTTCCTTTTTTAGAAAATCTCTGGATCAAGGGATAGTTCCCTCAAACTGGAAATTATACAAATATTACCCATTTAAAAAAAAGGCAGAAAAAGGCAGGACAATGAAGGTGACGAAGCAGATATAGTGGGACAATGAAGGTGACGAAGCAGATATAGTGGGACAATGAAGGTGACGAAGCAGATATAGTGGGACAATGAAGGTGACGAAGCAGATATAGTGGGACAATGAAGGTGACGAAGCAGATATAGTGGGACAATGAAGGTGACGAAGCAGATATAGTGGGACAATGAAAGTGATGAAGCACATGAATATAAGGTTCACAAGGTGAGACAGATATAGGGAAGTTGGTGAAGCACATGGTGGGAGAGAGAAAATAAGGAGTCACACACACACGCATATATCAGACCAGAGAAGGTGATGAGAGACATGGGGGATATAATGGGAGAGGGAAGGAGGTGAGGAAGATGATGAGGGAGGTGAGTGAGGTATAACCAGTGCCCGGTCCACCGTCCACCAGACAACACCAGGTGAGAGCAGCTCCTACACCAGCCAACCTCACTCCTTCCTAATCCTACACTCTCAAGCTCCGTTACACAGGTGTAACAAGCCCACACAAGTGATCAGTGTCACATAGTTGCACTTGCAGTGAGGCGACGACAACTGAAACAGCAGAATTATTGGTAATCCGAGAAATGGTGTTTGGTGTGTGTGATATATTTTCCCAGTTTAAAGCCAGGAGCTCTGACTGGGGATTCCCTCTTTTGTGATCTTTCACAATATATGTTTGTTTCGTGTTGGGTTAGTTAATTAGTGTGTGCAGGGGGGAAAGATGGTGTTAAGATGCGTGAGTGCCATATATATATATAGTGAATGTCTTAATATTGAGCCCCTTTGGTTATTGATAATTTAGGAGGAGTATATATGTTGTGGAGAGCCATACTGGCCTGCCAGACGCGCGAGGTGGCTTTAATTCATTCAGACCTGAGAGTGTAGCTACTATGGTGCTCATGGTGGGTGATTGGGAAGTGTCATGGTGCACCTTGGTCATGGTAGGTGCAGCTATGGTACACCTGCACGGAGCACACTGGTAACTGGGTGTTACCTGCGCTCTCACCTGTTGTTCACCCATTGTGTGCTTCCCCCGCATGGTGCTCACCTGACGCTCACTTACGTGGTACTTCCCCGCATGGTGCTCACCTGGCGCTCACTTGCGTGGTGCTTCCCTGCATGGTGCTCACTTGCGTGGTGCTTCCCCGCATGGTGCTCACTTGTGTGGTACTTCCCCGCACGGTGCTCACCTGGCGCTCACTTGCATGGTACTTCCCCGCATGGTGCTCACCTGGCGCTCACTTGCATGGTACTTCCCCGCATGGTGCTCACCTGGCGCTCACTTGCATGGTACTTCCCCGCATGGTGCTCACCTGGCGCTCACTTGCATGGTACTTCCCCGCATGGTGCTCACTTGCATGGTACTTGTACATATTGTATGTACTAGCTGTACCTATAAGTCAACCAATCTTTGTAAAAATTTATTGTATGTATGTACCTTACCTAAATAAACATTTTATTATTTATTTTATTTTTATCAATCGAGAGCAGTACGTCCTAACCAGACGTTATATGATGATATCCTGAACAGTTGATAAATAAAAGTAATTGCGGAACTCCAGTTATCTAATACTTATCATAAATGGTGTAAAACCTTATCATAAGCCAAGGGATTTGTAGATCAGTGTTTAAAGGGAATTTGGAAGTAATAATAACACAGCTGATGCCATCTGTCGGCAGAAGAGAACACTATCAACTGGCTAGTCAATAGTGGCCATAAGATACAGCTTACGCCATCTGTTGACATCAAATTACACTTATAACAAATTACCCCACGAAATACCACTAACGCCATCTAGTTTTTTTCCAACGCACTATAAATAGCCAAACAGCAACCCATAAGGTGGGTTGTTGTGCTCGGGTAGGAGGTTCCAAGCTCCGCCCACAAGTGGTATGGGGTGCATAATAAATGGCATATCATTGGTACATATTCTTTGTTGACATTCACACAACAGCCAATCACAGGAAGGGATCAGCTAAAGGTTCCATCCACTTAATAAATAATCTTTATTCAGCACACCATCCTTGCTTGTGACATTCTGCTTCAACTTTAATCTACCAAAAAAGTGAAATGTTAAGTATTTAAAAGTATTAATATAGTGATAATTAAATACTACAGGATGTAACGGGTGTTACAGAAACATGGGCTGGCTACCTAACTTGGGACGTTATTATTGGGGGTTGCCTTGACACAAATAATGATACGCTGCTCTGCCCTCTTATTCCAGTAAATTATTCAGTTAGATGGAGATTTCTGTCAGGTGCAAAACAGAAATTGTTGTTCTTTTTCACAACACTCTTGTTGTTGTGCACAAGGACCTATTTCTTAGATAAAATTGTATTCATAAAAGAGTGTTGGTATTCCCCGCAACAGCCAATCACAGGAAGGTATTTCTGGAAGCTCGGCCTCCTTATGGACTCAGCACATCGCTCTAGCTCATGGCTCTCTGTTTCATCTCTTGTATATACAAACTATGACTTTTTTCGATTACTGTTATAATTAATAATATGAGATATAAAAGTTTTTACACAAAATAGCTAAATTCTGCTATTAGTCATTAATGTTTTTCCTGCCCGAAACGCTTTGCGTAATAGTGGCTTAAGGCATTGTATGTACTAGCTCCATCTATAAATTGATCAAATTATGTAAAATCTCTTGTATGTATGTACCTTACCTGAATAAACTTCCCTGCATGGTGCTCACCTGGCGCTCACTTGCATGGTACTTCCCTGCATGGTGCTCACCTGGCGCTCACTTGCATGGTACTTCCCTGCATGGTGCTCACCTGGCGCTCACTTGCATGGTACTTCCCTGCATGGTGCTCACCTGGCGCTCACTTGCATGGTACTTCCCTGCATGGTGCTCCAACGATACATCCAGCTGGTGCACAAGTGTTGCTCAGGAGGTGTTTCCTACATGATAATCCAATGATACTCCCAGTTGGTGCTCATCCGGTACTCTTATAACTCAGCTGGTACTTACCTGGTTGGTTGATACCTGGTTGATGGGGTTCTGGGAGTTCTTCTACTCCCCAAGCCCGGCCCGAGGCCAGGCTTGACTTGTGAGAGTTTGGTCCACCAGGCTGTTGCTTGGAGCGGCCCGCAGGCCCACATACCCATCACAGCCCGGTTGGTCCAGCACTCCTTGGATGAAACAATCTAGTTTCCTCTTGAAGATGTCCACGGTTGTTCCGGCAATATTTCTTATGCTCGCTGGGAGGGTGTTGAACAACCGTGGACCTCTGATGTTTATACAGTGTAAAAAAAACTTAGTGCTCAAGGTTCACTCATCCAGTACTCTAATGACCCAGCTGGTACTTACGTAGTGCTCATCTGGTACTCTGATCACCTATAATAATAATAATATAACACTAATTGTTATTTATACGGAAGGATATGGTAGAGTGACACTCCCCTATTTAGTTATCCCCGCGGGTGATATCGAACATGGGGGGGGGGGGGAGGTAAAGGTTTTGAAATTAAAATTGAAATAAGTTTATTGAGGTAAAATACACACAAAGGGATGAGGTAGCTCAAGCTATTCTCACCCCGTTCAGTACATCGTGTTAATACATACATATAAACACATCACAAACAATAAACATATTACCAAACATTCTGAGAGATAAACATCTACATTTCCACCTAAGAGGTGAAGGTAGTCAGGCTTGTATTATGAAGGCTGACAGATCAGCCTCACATTTCATGGTCTCTCTCCTGAATCCATGTATGACTAAACCATCCTAAGAGATGGGGGATATTAGATGAACTCATAGTTAGTTTTTGATCTACAATCTGTAATGCTTCATATAGTATTGTGTAGCAGCACATAATTGTTGTGTATACCTAAGCTTGATAATAAAAATATCGCTGGTTAGCGTTTCAGCTTCCACCGTTCATGCCCCGTACGGTGTCTTGGGAACCCCCAGATAGAGTCTCCATAGTATATATGTCTCCGGCGGGGTGCACAGTCGCTCAGTGATCTCCATATATTTCTTGGTCGTTTAATTAAGATACACGTATCACCGTTTTCTGAGTATCCTACTCTATTCTAAAAGTATGTATAAGCCTAGTGTCCTGGTATACAATAGGCAATATGTACTATTGCATTGTACATCTGCAATAGTACAACCTGTCCTCGGGGAAGAGGCACTCCTGGAGGTAATCACTTCAAATTCACTACATAATTAGTGCTATTATCTACTCTCTATCCATGGTTAGGTTACAGTAAGTTAAGGTTACTAATGTATAGTTAGGTTATTAATATGGTGTTTTAATCTCAAACGTGAAATATGAAACTAAAAAATTATTTGAGTATCCGCTAGAATTTGATTCACAGAAAACCAAATTCTTCAGATCGTTTCAAAGAAAATGAGTTAAGCATTGACTTTATATTTTACACCAATGATTTATAATAAATGTAATTATAACTTGAGAATATTCTCTGTTTAGGACAAAGGTTCACTTGTCAGTTTACAAGAAGACTACTATTGGAACAGTAATATGCTTCCAAACCATCACAAATATCTAGTTAACTATCCAGGAGGTTTGAGGGGGGTGGGGTGGATTGGTGTCTCATTGTAATCACTTTACTCTGAGAACTGGCTATTATATTAATAATAATAATAATAATAATAATAATAACTAATTTATCAGAACAAACTTATTTTTAAATTAATACACAGTATGTTAAAATTTGCTGAATGCATCTTGAGGGATGGGAGCTTCTTTAACGAGCCTGGCCTGAGGACAGGTTCAGCGTGTATTTACTTATATACAAGAAGCAACATTGGGTTTGTGGGAATACATTGTACTCCCTCAGATATATTGGTGTTCTTTCTCTCGTTTCCCTAGCGTTTCGGGCTATGCGTATTCGTACTGCCATAGAAATAGTGTTGCCGTTGAGTCGGGAATTCAGGAGCTGTTACTGTCGTGGAGGAAGATAATTATGGAGCAAGTAAGTAACCTTGGAGGTTTCCAAGAAGCCCCCAAGTTGAAGGACGAGTTTCTTGTGTGTTGCTGACCTGCCGTCCTTGCTCACGTGCGCCGCGGTGCAAGTTAAATACAAATACAAATATTTATTCAGGTAAAGTGCATACATTCAAGGTGAAATACAAAAGTTGATGGATTTATAGATAGAGCTAGTACATACAATGCCTAAAGCCACTATTAAATAAAAGTTGAGGGCTCCTCCACATGGAAGGGCAGGACCTTGCTTTATTTATGCCAGAATATACAATGGTTTATTTTAAAAAATAATGTAGTGATTAAGGGATATGCAGACGCACGCGCGAAGAAAGTGATAAACACGATCAAAAGTAGATAGCAGCGAATGATAAAGAATGAGTCTCAACATTAATGAGTAGAAATGAATTGTATTTATTTAAAAACAAAAAAATAAAAACAAAATTAATTAAAAGTAGTGAACATTAAAGTTGATAACAATAAATAAGTTGAATACAATGTAGAGAATATCAGCTCATCCGTTGTTGATGCTTAGAGCTAGTCTCACTAAACTTTGCAGGGTGACTGGTGATTGTATGGCGAGTGTCATAGGGTGGTTGAGGTCAACCCCAGTTAATGCCCGTTTTTTAAGAAGGATCAGCGCCTATTCCGAATCCTAGTGACTCCAATGAAGTATGAAAAGTGGATTTGCTTGTCCATGGAGTGTTAGAATAGATTTTATGACTTATCGACGTTATTTCAACATCGATAACGTTGATATCATTGATTCAACATCGATATCATTGACTGGATGTTACTCGAGTATCTTTTGTCCAATGGGAGGAAGCTATAAAGGGTGAGAGAACGGGAGGGAGGGAGGCAGATATATATATATATATATATATTGGTGGAATACCAAGTTTTTAATGTACTGCAATTGTCTTAATTAAAGCAGGCAAAAATGGTGAAGGTAAGGGTGTGGGCGGTGCAGGTGGTGATGGTGGTGTGTGGGGTGGTGGTGGTGGGGAACGAGGCCCATCAACACCTGCACCAACAACCCCAACAACAGCAAGAGAAGCAACAACAACATGAGCAACATGAAGGGAAGCAACAACGTCTGCCCAACATTGTGATCCTCGTTGCTGATGATATGGGCATCGGGGACTTGGGTTGCTATGGCAACACCACCATCAACACTCCAAACATTGACAGGTGCGTTACTTAGTAATTGTAATGTTAAAACTTGCCTGGATCAATATCCTCCAAATTGTTTAGTATTTTAAGTTTCGATGAGATTAAAGAATAGAATTTTAACCTGCTTGTGCATGGAATTTTCTCAAAGTCATCCTGATATTAAAAGATGTGTATCAGTATTTTTATATAATATAAAACCCACTGACCATGAAGATGTTCAAGCATTAATGTGAGTGTGTAATGCTTGCCCTCTCAGACTAGCTGAAGAAGGCGTGCGACTAACCCACCACGTGGCAGCCTCATCCATGTGCACCCCGAGCCGTGCTGCCCTCCTCACAGCTCGCTATCCTGCACGCTATGGTATCTTACATTAACACATTGGCACCACTGTAATGCTCACCTCTCAGTGTGTGTGATGAAGAGGATCTGAGTGTGTGTGATGAAGGGGATCTGTGAGTGTGTGTGATGAAGGGGACCTGTGAGTGTGTGATGAAGGGGATCTGTGAGTGTGTGATGAAGAGGATCTGTGAGTGTGTGTGTGATGAAGAGGATCTGTGAGTGTGTGAGATGAAGGGGACCTGTGAGTGTGTGTGATGAAGGGGATCTGTGAGTGTGTGATGAAGAGGATCTGTGAGTGTGTGTGTGATGAAGAGGATCTGTGAGTGTGTGAGATGAAGGGGACCTGTGAGTGTGTGTGATGAAGGGGATCTGTGAGTGTGTGTGATGAAGGGGATCTGTGAGTGTGTGTGATGAAGGGGATCTGTGAGTGTGTGTGATGAAGGGGATCTGTGAGTGTGTGAGATGAAGGGGACCTGTGAGTGTGTGTGATGAAGGGGATCTGTGAGTGTGTGTGATGAAGGGGATCTGTGAGTGTGTGTGATGAAGGAGACCTATGAGTGTGTGTGATGAAGGGGACCTGTGAGTATTGTAATGACTGGCATTTCACATTTTATTTGTTAATTGTATTAGTTATCATTGTAGTTGTAATTGAAAGTAATCTTGTTTCGAGCTGTACATATATACAGAGGAAGCTAGTGATAGTAATTGGCGAGAGACATCGGAGGTCAACTGGTATTAATTAAACACTTGCTTTTGATAAGATAAAGATCGAGGCGCCTAATAGTAGTGATGAGTCAGGAGTTACGAGCTGCTGTGGCCTGCTGGGCCAAGACAGAGACAGAATATATGGAATTATGGGTAGTTATGGTAATTAAAATGTGATAAGGCAAAAATGCTTCTGAGTTAACAGTATTTTATAGTTTGAGTTAAATTGGCTAATGTTAGTAGTTTGATTATAAATGATTTGATCAAGGAGACTTGAAGTATGAAACATGGTTGCTCAATGTAAATAATTTTCTGTAAATTTGTGTAAGCTAACATAACTATGAATGTACAAACATTGACGAATAAGGTTTTGATTATGAATTTAATTTGAAATGAGTTACTTTTAGCCTAAGAGGTCACATATCATTTTGAGCTAATGGTCATTGGGATGGATTTAGCTTGGCTTCAAAGCATGAAAATTGTATGTAAGGACAGTAGAACTCCAGGAGGCCTGGTCGACGACCGGGCCGCGGGGACGCTAAGCCCCGGAAGCACCTCAAGGTAACCAGTGACAGAGTGGGTAGGAGAGCAGCCTTGAGACAGCAGTGGGGGGTCATGGCAGCTATTGTAGGGTATTTACGATTATTTTACCTGAATTTTCCTGAGGGCCACTATCTCTAGTGGTATAAATGAAGGTTACCTGTGAGTAAGTGTGATGAAGGGTTCCTGTTAGGTATTTACTGAAGCAGTCTGCATCAAGGGACAGCTGGGTTGAGGTTGGTCAGATCTCTTGTTGTTACTCTTGGCAAGGTTGCAGTGATACTCCTTCTGTAAGGTGGTCTGTGGTCTTATATAGCTCACTGCTGGTAATGTATGGCCCAGTGCTCTTTGTTCGAGGAGCAGCAGCTTGGTGCAGATGTCTGTGTAGCACTTGAAAGTACTGTAATACAGATGTAGAAGTTGCAGCTATTGGCACTGCAGATGCTATTGTACTTGCTACAAATGTAATGAATTTATAATAGTAAGAAAATATGTTGTTGTACCCCTGTGTGCATTGCAGGTCTTGTGGGAGAAAAGGGCACACCCGCTGTCATCGTTCATCTTGCCAGTAAAGTTGGACTCCCCCTGGATGAAGTGACGCTCGCCACTGCCTTGAGTGCTGCTAACTACACCACTGCTGCAGTAGGTAGGCAATATATCTGGCACACTTTTTTCCCCTCATAAACTTTTTTTTTTAATGATTTATAATTGTAATTAATATTTATTTGATATACTGTACCTATACCTGAGGGCCACTATCTCTTAAGTGGCCTTGACGAGGCCAGGAAGCTGTGTACTTGTCAAAAGTCCCCCCACTATTTGTTCTAGTGATTTTAGTGAGCAGGATGTTGAACTGCAGAACTATAATGTCTTGGCATTTACAGCTTCAGTGGGTAATTACCTAAGTGTAATTATGCATTTGGGTATGCATGGGTATGCAGTTCCATGAGTTTATAACCCTATAGGTGAAAAAGAATCTCCTTTTTCCTGTCCTACATTGTGGCTTGTTGAGCTTGAAACTGTTGTTCCTTATTTGTGTTACATCTGACCTTTTAGAGAAGTGGTCTGAATCAATATCCTCCAAGTTATTTAGCATTATGGAAGTTTCAATGAGATCAGCCCTGTCATGCCTGGTCAGTTCAGAGATGGTGGCCCCTCAGGTAAATTATGTGTTAACTGTTATTTCCTTCAAAACAAAATGCACTGAAGTTTGTGGGGCATCATATTGTACATTACATCATCAGGTAAATGGCACCTCGGTCAGAGATGTGACTTGCTGGGGCGAGAGTGTCGTGGGCCACACCTGCACGGCTTCCAGTCTTTCTATGGGATTGCCCTCTCCCTTATAAATGAGATGGCAGGTGCTCAACCCTTCTGGATCTTCTCTTTAAAAGACCCTTTCTATCAGGTAAGTCATATGGTACTGTTTAATAAATGATCCCTTCTACTAGATAGTCACAAAGTATAGTATTGTACAAGTTAATGATCCATTCTACCAGGTGAGTTTTAAAGTACAGTTCTCTAAAAATAAATAACTTCTGCCAGATGAATAATAATTATAAATTTAAGCACATAGTCAACTGTATAAGAAATTAGATTCCCTGCATCTCTTTATATACTTCTAATACAATATTAATACAGTAACTCTTCATTAAAGGGTCAAACACTATATATACTGTATATTAATTGTATTAACATACTAGGTTAATTGTTAGTTTTAAGATTTAACCGAAATGTGGGAGATTAGTGGCCAACCAGTGCATAATTTTTTTCTATACATAAATATTATTATTAATGGATAACTGGAAAAATCGGACAAAATGTCCAGGCATCCTGGGCCAAAGCCTTTGTGAAAATGTCCTCAAAATAGCATCACTAGAGCTTACTACGAAAGGGCCTCCAAAACAATAACTTTGTCCATATCAAGACCACTAGAGATGATGGCCTTACGTAAATTCATGTAAGGTGACATGAGTATTAAAATTCTGTGTAATATGAATGAATTACAGAGGCTAATTGTTCACTGAGAAAGCCTTTTCCATCATTATTAATGTAAATAATAATACAGTAATATTTTACCTGATTTACCTGAGGGCCACTAACCCTAGTGGCCTCGACGAGGACAAGAAGCCGGTGTCTTGTCAAAGGTCCTCCCCATATACCTTGATCTTTTCCAGGTAGATTTTAACACTTAACACAGTTTTGCAGTTACAGCTTTGGTAGGTAGGCAGTTCCATGGGTTTAAAACCCTGTGGGTTAAAAAGCATCCCCTGTTTCTCAGTTCTACATTGTGGCTTGTTGAGCTTGAAACCGTTGCTTCTTGTTTGCGTTACATCTGACCTTTTGAAGAAATTGTCTGGATCATCATCCTCTAATATGTTCAGTATTTTAAAGTTATTTTAAAATAAAGTTTTTTCAATACTTAAAAGTATTTTAAAAGTTTATTTGTTCAGTATTAATAAAAGAGTACAGTACTGTAATATATATTTATAAAGAAAAATATATACTGTTTATATTACATTGTATGAATACATGGTATAGTGTTGCTAGTTATTTTGTATAAGGTCACTGATCATGCACAGCATTTTGTGCAAATGTTAAAAATAACAATTGATTACAGTACTCATGTTATACCAAAAACAAAGGAGAGAGATTATCTGAGGAAATTTCGATTAAGTGAATTGTTGTGAACCACAGTTGGTTCACAACTGAAAGGTCCAGGGTTCGATATCCATGGCAGGACAGAGATAATTGGGCACGTTTCCTTACACTTGATGCTCCAGTTCACCTAGCAGTAAATAAATACCTAGAAGTTAGCTGATAATTTTGGGCTGCCTCCTGGGAAAGGTCAGTAGAAACCTAGGAAAACATTGATGAGCCTACCAGGCTTCCTGTCCCCAACAATGGGAAACCTTAATTATGATAAAATACAGTACTGTGTACATTGATAAAAATAATTTACAATTAAAAGTAGACAATTTTTTTTCCTTTTAGATGCTGGTGTCATTGTGGGTGGTGAGTACACTGACGCTGTGGTGGCTGAGGTGCCGACGCAGTGTGGTCATCTTGTGCCTGTTTCTGGTGACGCTCGCACTAGCTGCTGCCTGGTTCTTCCACACACACTACCGCTTTCATACCAAACAATGGTGGCAGGTATCTTCCAAGTTGAATTCAATTTTCCTTCAGCATTTGAAAATATAAATGAACAAGAGTAGTGTACATTACAGTACTCATGTACAGTAAAGTATTACTGTGCAGAATTTGATACAGCTTCTCACTCTATATTATTTTTCATTTAATGTACATACAGTATATTGAATTTTGTTTATTTCCACATAATATAAGCTAAACCACTGACACATTTTGTTAGCCTTTATTATTTATTGAGACTTATCTATAGATTACATTTCCCACAAGAATCTATACTTCTGTATATACAGTGCTGTCACATAAGTTAGAATATAATTTATTAAACAGCAGAGAATCAGTCATAATAACTTGCCTGAAAATATATAACCCAACCCTCATACAGAATGAAAAGAAAGTGGTAATGTTTGTGCACATTCTGGACCCATATCAAGTCTAGTGATAGTTGTCCAGGATGCATCAAAAAGTTGTCCCCTTCCTTTCATTTCACATGTGTGGATTGGGTTACTGTATTTATATATGAAACTTTATAAGAAACTATTGTATCTATGCCTAGGACTGTATCATTGAGATACTGTAGCAACTGATAAAAATCCATCAGGTAAATACAGATACAGTAAAAGAATGTAAAAGAATGCAAGAACATTTAAAGAGGTAGTTTATTATTTCTTGAATACCATAAATATAATAAAATTGGTCAGGTAGAACAGTAATCTACATTCTCCACTCACAATCAGGGATCCAGGGTTTGATTCCCTGGTGGGACAGAAATGGTTGGGCATGTTTCCTTTCACCTAATGCTCTGCTCACCCAGTAATAAATAGGTACTCGGGAGTTAGGTAACTATTGTGGTGTTGCATCGTGGGGAAGGTCAGTAGTTTGGTCTCGGGGTACCTCGAAACAGGCCTAAGTACGGGCTTCCTGTCCCCAGCAAGTTGACACCAGAAATTAAATTGCTGTATAATTATTATATGTATAATGCTATTAATTTTCATTTTGTTCTTCCAAGTATCTGCGTATGATGCTTATAATTTACTGTTATTCAGATTTTTTAAAGGCAAGCAATTACCTGTGTAATTACAGGATGAGCGCTACATTCATGGTGTCCTGTCTTCCCAGTAATCTGTCATATGACACTTTGAAACTACTGACAGCTTTGGCATCCACTGCCTTTCCACTTAACTTGTTCCAATCATCTACACTTTGTTTGCAAAAGAAAATTTTCTATTATTTTTTCAGCATCTTTCTTTCCTTAGCTAACCATGCAAGGTGATACTGTACAGTAATTGGATGGAAAATATGTACACCTGTATATACTTTTTATAGAATGTTTAGAAAATTTGAAAAATAAAAAATCTTTGAAAATTATGTTAAGAATTATCTATTCCACATAAGGAATGAAATTAAGGGCAGTACATGTAGTAGACTTATTCATCATTTCAAAACCTGCCAGCTATCATAAAAATTAATGCCAGCTTTAGACTGCTATGAAAGCATACTGAACTTATATGATTCATACTTGTTTATATGGTAAAATATATTGAAAAGTAATCATGGTGTGGTTGATACAGGTGTCACCATGGATGAATAAATACATGAACGGTGTGCTGATGCATGACACAAAAGTTGTGGAGCAGCCGCTGGTGCTGGAAGGCCTTTCTCAGCGTCTTGTGAGCCACTCGGTCAAGTTTATTGCTGACCATGCACAAGAACAACGGCCATTTTTCCTTTACCACTCCTTCGGTCATGTTCACACACCGATGTTCACAGCATCTCATATGGCTGGACGCAGCAAACATGGAAGGTTCGTTGAAAGACTGTTAATGTTCATCCCTCATTATTCTGTCACGGATAATGAACATACAGTATATATACTGTATGCCGATGTTATTATTAACTGTTTTCATATTCATTTTATTGTCACATACTATTGGTATTTAGTGGTAGATTTAATTCAAATTTCTTATGTTCAGAATATTAACAGTCTAAGACCTAGTATAATTTGATCAATACATGTTTTAGTTATTCATTGACCTATTTCTAAAAAGTATACATAATATGACTAAGATTAAAAGAACACAATTTAAGGGGGAAGTAATGCAATCAGCCAATAACAGCATATAGCTGTACACATTTAAGGGATGCAAGTGCTCAGTTATATGAGCAACGCAAACAATCCTGTTTCTCATGCTAATTGGAAGGGCAAGTATACAAAAACTTGAAAGTTACACCAAGTGCTTCTCAACCTGCTCATGTTACCTTCCACACTCTTTTACATTCATAGTTATCACACTACAGTATATATATTGTCACCTGTATCACTCTGTTCTTCTAAGAAAATTCACTATTTTGCAGTAATAGTATGATGAATGTAACTGAGTGTAGATCACAAGAACATCACAAAACATCACATTATTAATAAATACACCTTAGTTTTCTAGTCTGACTAAATAATAATAATGTTAATGATGATGATAATTCCCCTTGTCAGGAACAGTATACCTGTGCTTAGGTTTATGAAGGTCTTCCTAGGTCAACTACTTACTTTTTCCAGGATAGAACCCACAACAGTTGCCTAACTCCTGGGTACAGTACCCATTTGCTGCTAGGTGAACAGAAGCATCAGATGAAAGGAAACATACCCAACCATTTCTGTTCCACCTGTGGAACAACTGTGTTTCTAGATAATGCATTAAGGATCTAGACCACTGTGCTACAGGACCTATGCATATAAAGGGACCTAAGTTATAGCACACTTTCTAAATAGTAAAGAAATGCCTGATTGCCATATAATAAGAAGCTTACCCCTTGCCCTTGTTATAGAAATTGCATAATTAAATCACATGTACCAAGGAATCTTGTGCCACTACTTCACCTAGTACTGTACTGCACTATGCCCACTAGAATTTATGTATGTAAAATTTACTATATGTACATATTGTACTTCTCTCAACTTCCAAATTACTGCAAATTCTCAGTGTACTGTATCTCGTTCACTGGTACTTAAAGTTTTACTACACTCCCTGTAACTTAGAAAGTGTTAATACATACTACAGGTAATTTGTTACCATTAAGACTTTCCCAAAACATTACAGTATGTGTATTAATGGCTGAACAAGAATGTAACATGGACACCAGTATTGTTATATGCCCCAGTGTTAGTTTTGTAAGTGTTTTTAATAAATAAACTCACCTAAATCTTAAATTTTCAACAGTAAGTATAAACTTGATTGTAGATATGGTGACAATGTTGAAGAAATGGATGCTGGCGTGGGAGACATTTTGGACGCCCTCAAACAACACGACTTGGATGAAAACACTATAGTTTACTTCCTGTCGGACCATGGTGGACACCTCGAAGCTATAGATGATGCTGGCCAGCGTGTTGGAGGCTACAATGGCCACTTCAAGGGTCAGTTTATAATAGTCATCCAGGATGTGATATGAAAGTATTTACCTGAATTTCCCTAAAGCCAACTATCTCCTTAGAAGTCTCGACAGAGACAGGAAACCGGCAGCTTCTCAAAGTATACTTTGAGAGGATATTAATACAAAGTATTAATACAAAGTATTAATACTTTGTGATATTAATACAAAGTATTAATATCCTCTACCATTGTTCCTGAGGATTTTATCTATATGGGTTTTAAACTTAAGTAATCTCTTGGTATTTACAGTTTCAGCATGGAGATAGTTCCATGGATTTATAAAATCTTATGGGTGAAACAGCACATGCTGTTTTGTCCTATATTTTGGCTTCTTAAGCTTGAAGTTGTTGCCCTTGTATGCATTAGATTTTGCTTTTTAAAGAAGTGATCTGGATTAATATCCTCTAACTTGTTCAGTATTTTAAAAGTCTCAATGAAATAAATCCTATCATGTCTGGTTTGCAGTGTTAGTCATGTGGCCCTCAACTATTCCTGGTATGAGAGTTGACTTAGTTCCAAGATGATTTTTATCACTCTGTGTTGAACTTTCTCCAGAGCAGACATGTTCTTTTGAAGATAAAGTCTACATGCTTGGATACAGTAGTCCAAATGGGGGGTGAACCAGAGACTTGTACAGCTGAATATTCCTAAGCTTAGGTTGTCTTTTTTTTACTGTAGCACCCAGTTGTTTGGCAACTTGTATTTACAACACAAATTACTACAACAAAATGCTGTAGTAATACTGCAAGTAACACATATTAATAGTTGATAGTAGCTTATGACTTCTATGACTGTAAACAATAAAGCACAATGCCGTATTTATAGTTCTTAATCATCATAAACATCACATACTAAATAAAAAAATCCACAAAATAACAGGTGGCAAGGGCATGGGAGGTGCCGAGGGTGGAATACGTGTGCCAGGAATCTACCGATGGTCAGGACACCTTCCTGCTGGGGTCACTGTGGATGCTCCGACCTCCCTGCTTGACACGATGCCCACGCTTCTCGACCTGGCTGGCCTCCCATCTTTGCCCAAACTTCTGCCTCACCTGCCTCCCAGGGTAAGTTTATAATAATAGTACAGTGCCACTGTCTACAACATAGAGCAAAGACTATGTTTAAACAAATATTTGCTAAATGCCAAGACATTACTGTAGTTCAAAATCCAGTTGAAACTATTCTTAAGAACAATAAGAAGGCCTTTGACAAGCTGCTGGCTTCCTGCCCCCTATCATTCAATGCACTACAACATGCCTGTTAAACACACACCAATTTTTTGAAAGTTACAGATATTTGGGAAAATGTTTAAGACAATCTAGACACTTGTGCAAACTTTGGTTAGTGAAATACCCCTGTACTCAAGTTCCCAGGCTGACCTAAAAATACAAAACATTATTTCAGTACCATCAGTCCAAAACAAAAGTACTACAATATTGTACATGGTGCTCAAGGCATATACCAGTGGCCAGAGAAGAGGAAAATTGTGATGTTGACCACTGAATAAAAAATAGAGCTCATTAGGTTTCCCACCCAGTGCTTTAAACTCGCACTGTATCAAGTGCTACCCAATCCCCCAATATATGTATCTAAGCCATACAACTTTACCATTGTAATCATTGCTGCCCTGTAATATCACCTTATATCATGGTTGTTATATTGGATGCATGTTTTACTGCAGTATACCTCTAAATAATCCTCAAATTATGCTACAATGCACCTGTTGATAACCCTCATATTTTATTTTAATGTACCTAGTAATCTTTGTCAAATTTTCTTACTATGTACAGTACCTGTAAACATTTATTCAATTTTACTAGAAATTACCAACTTAAAATTATGTTAGATTAAGGACCTGCCTGAAACGCTATGCGTCCTAGTGACTCTACAAGAATGTAAAAATATCAACGCTATGTACTCTCATAAACACAATGTACCTTCTTGTATATAAATAAATAAATAAATTAGAAAGGTTAAAAGACAAAACAATCATAAAGATTGTTTTGTCATCATTCATCATACAAAGTGATGAATGAGCACAGCTATACAAACGTGCTAGTTACTTGGGAGAGGTCAGTAGGGACAGGCTCAGATAACAGGTGATCCACTATAAATAAAAGACCTCACTCATAAATTGAACAAATTTGGAATGTTTGAAGTATAATTTTATTTACATTTTTGTCAACTTGTGAATCAAAAGATTAACCTGAATTATTAAATCTTGTGCTACTAAATCACATAAACTACTACAGTATTTAAAAATGCAACTCATTCATCAGTACCATTTCATATTAACTATAATATGGCCATTAGTTTTAATTTACTTAAAATTTACTGTACATCTGTTAGCTTACAAATCACTGCAAATTCTCAATATAGTACAGCATACATCTCGACTAATTTTACATCAAGACTTGCCCAAAACATTATATTTGTTAGTGGCTTTGCATGAATATAAGTTACACACTAAAATTGTTCTAAAACCCATTGTGATATATTAAGATTTAAACAAAAAAAATTTTCATGGTAAAGATATCAAATCTTATTTACTTTATTTAGGACCTGGATGGAGTAAGCATTGCAAAATTGTTAACCAGCGGAGAGTTTCCGCCCTCCCGCTCCTTGCTGCACCACTGTGGTCGTGACATACATGCTGTCAGGATTATTCAAGGTAAAATATATTCACCAGGATTAGTAAAAAATCTCAGATTTATCCTAGGCACTTGACGTCATGTGTGACAAAGGTAATTTACACTCAACCAACTAAGATGACTATCAAGAATGTTTCCTCTTTACATTCAAAACAACTCAGAGTTGTTTTGTTACTTAGTAAACTATTCACTCTACTGTACTGTACTGTACTTGCCTAGTTGTGCTTGTGGGAGTTGAGCATTGGCTCTTTGGTCCCACCTCTCAATTGTCAATCAACTGGAGTACAGATTCCTGAGCCTACTGGGCTCTATCATATCTACATTTGTAGATATATATATGTCAGTGTTTTTGCTTTGTAATGCAGTTCTGTAATTATACTCCCCTTTAATCTGGGTTTGTTACAGTAAACCAGACAATGCAGGTTATAACATAGGACATCCAGTGTGCTGTGTACTTTTCATGCTGTGTGATTATATATATGCACTACATTCAGAGTAATAACTAGCTAAAGGAAATTTTGTTTTTAAATAAGTAGCATAGATCAAAAGCATTTTTATGGTCAATATTGTATTGAGGCTTCAAGTTGTTTTTTAGCTTATCATTGAAGCAAATGGGTTTTCTCTACAATATTATTATCCCATTTTTACACGAGATGAACAGTGGACACGACATCCAAGAGTAACGGTAATTCAACGTCATCAAAATTGATTCAACGATGACTTGATGTTGCTCTTGGATATTGTACCCACTGGATGTTGTGACCACTTGTAACAAGACTTTCAAGCTTATTCACCTTTTGCTTGCTCTGTCTTGTCTGATTTGTTTGCCATGACTTTATACCTGTATGGATTTTAATCCGAGAAAAGACTTAATCACTGCATTATCAATCATTGAAAATAACGAAGTTCATTGGCATCTGGCATAGGTTAATTCTCTTTTTTTTCATGTTGATATTGGCCATAATATACAATAGATTAATATAATGTATCTTTGAATAAAATATATTGTACTTCCTATCAGAAAATTTGGCCTACAAACTGCAGCTGGTGGGATACAAGTGGAAGCCTGGCAGTACCCAGTGTGGCTGGGGCGTCAACAAATTTTGCTCATGTTTTGATGTAGAAGACTATGGCTATGAACCTCAACTTTTCAACCTCAGAGACGACCCATATGAGGATAATCCCATTCCTACTAACAGTACTCAGTAAGTACCAAAATATTCATTACTGTATTGGAGCTTTATTATAATTTATGTACATTCAAATTATAGAGCGCTACATGTAAGGCATTTTGTTTCTGGTTTAAAGAATAATTTGTGGCACAGTAGAAGAATGACTGTTCCAGACTTGGGTTTGATATTACAGTGCTGTAAGTTCCAGACAGAGCTAATTATGATCTGTTTTGCCTTACAATAATACCATTCTTACTATAATGACATTACCTACAAAAAGTACAGTACAGTATTCACAAAATATTAACTGTCATCCCTGATCCCTGGACATTGTACGTGAAAAGAGATTTCTACTTATAATCATGTTATACTGATGGTGTGTTTGTACTGTAGAGTTCCAATTTTTAGTAGCTAATTGAGTATATACCATCTGCAAGAAATACAGTTTTGACCCAAATTGTCAGGGGTCACTTTGTGATCCTGACAGTTCTCACAAATATATTTTCACTTGTCTGTAGTAAGTCGGGTATTTGTCAGGATGCTCCACTTGCTGGAGATATTATTTCATTTCATTTTAATATAATTTGTTTATGTTCAGACATCATAAATCTTTAATGCAATGTATTAAATCACTTAAAACTTTTAATTATTTTGTAGGTATATGCAGGTGACTATGGTACTGAAGCAGTTCTTGGCTGAGTGGAAAGTGCGTGTACCCTACCCACCTTCACAGTTTAAAAATGTTACTAACACTATGCTCTCCCTTTGGCTTCAACCATTCCGTTCATTTTGGTAATGTTTAGGTAAGAGGTGCATATAATATGTGTTAAAAAATGTTGTTAATTGAGACCAAATATGTGGGTATATACTGTATGTGCCTTACATTCTGTACCTTTTTCTTGTACAGTATAGTGTTATTCCTAGGACTTAATTCATTATTTTGTTTAGTGCGAAATATACTGTTGGAGGATATAGCAATTTATTTGATCCTAAAGAAAAACAAGTCATTCACAGCGTTCTACCCCATACACCTGGTAGGTTTATTATACTCGGACACATTGGGTTTTTTCGCTAACATCCTATAAAATCTCATCAAGAACTAGTTAATGTGATATTCCTACATGTAGCTTCCCCTTGATAGGGCCAGGAAGCCTGTATGGGTAGAATATTTAGTTAAGAATTATTTAAAGTATAGTGTCACAGTGATCTTATTTCTTATAGCTTATTTATTTATACAGTATACTGTATATATAAAAGGTAAAATGGGTTGTGGAAGTACATACATTGGTGATTATGTGGTACAGTCTTGCAAAGCCACTAACACACATTACATTTCAGGCAGGTCCTAAAACTAACACATAATCTAACTAAAAAGCTTACACTACAGTCCCCGTCGCGTAGTGGTAAGACACTCGCCTGGCATTTCGCAAGCCCTTTGTCCTGGGTTGTATCCTGGCCGGGGAGGATTTATCGGGTGCAACTCCTTAACTGTAGCCTCTGTTTAACCCAACAGTAAAATAGGTACCTGGTTATTAAACAATTTGGCGGGTCATATTCAGGGAATATTAGGATTAAGGACTTGCCTGAAATGCTAAGCATGCTATTGGCTGTACAAGAATGTATGGCCCCTTGTACGTATATATAAATAAATAAAAAATAAAAATAATTTACAGTTAACTTTAAATTAGAAGGTAAAAGTCAGTCAGTCTTGATTAAAAAATAAATGTATGATAGGTATATAATGACAGAATTTTAATATAGAAAATTAATATACGGTATCAATATAAAGTAGTGATAAAAGAAATTAAATTGATGTAGTTGTATTTCTAGATACTAAAACACTAAGCGAGTTAGTAGCACAATGTGGGATATTATGGTGCTGAAATTACCCAGTGGGCACAATATCCAAAGGCAATACCAATTCAAAGTCAGTAACGTTGAATGCAGCATCAAAACAACATCACTATGTAAAATAGTTCCTTATATTGGGTCCTTTTACTTGCACAGCATGTTTGCATAGATTTAGTCTGACTGGAATTATCAAAGAGAGATTTATTTCTGGTGTGATTTTCACGGGTCCTATTGTATCAATATAGGATGAGTTTCAATAAAGGATTTGAATTTAGGAATAAGGCTTTTCAAAGTGTAAATAACACACGAGAATGTGTGGATAATTCAGTGGGAAAATTAACTTTTTCTACAACTCCATCCCAACACTTATTTATAATTTCACTCTAGCCTGTGCATATACTGTATTGTAATTCCATTCTTGCCTCTTATAAATCATATCTTTTTTTATTAACCTGCATCAGGCCCTTATAATTCCTCTCTATCCTTCTCATGCCGATTCACTCCAATCTTCACTTTGTTATTCCTCTCCGGCTTCTCGGTATAATTTTACTCCGACAGTGCTTCTCTTGATTCCACCCCTGCCTTTGATAATCCCACAAAACATACATTTGATATTGTATTCTTTATTTATGAAAATAGAGATCAAAGGTCTGAACTATTTTCTATGCAAAGGGTATGTACAGTACATTCATATTTACCTATTTCAGTGCATAACTATATGAAAAAATCAAAGGTACTGAAAATACGTTTTTCACACAGTTCCTAATAGTAGCCAAACCAAAGTATTCAATTCTTATAAATTTTCTAACTTGTAAGTGTTTCTGCAAATCTTTTAACGACAGTGGGAGACAGTACATGGAGAAGATTCTCCGTGAGGTTTCCCTGAAATATGGGCAGATCCGAAAAGAGGAACAAAGAAGAGTAGATGTAAAACTGCAGAAGATAAATTACGTCTACAGAAGTCTCAACAGGGAAGGTGTCCAGTGAGGAAGGGAAGGGAACTATCAGGAGAAAGTGCCAAGCCATTATGACTATAGCACTGGAAAGGGATCAGGATAAGGATTTGGGATGGGATGGGGGGGGGGGGGAGGAATGGTGCCCATCCACTTGGACAGTCGGGGATTGAACGCCGACCTGCATGAAGTGAGACCGTCTTTCTACCTCCCTCTCACCATTCCCTCTCCCTGTCCTATCTTAAATTCTTATCCTAATACTGATTTACGTAAGAAGAGGAAGCTGCTGGAAACACATTATAGGAAGAACTCTTTGCCTCTGGAGTGTGAGTGTGTTTGGTACATACAGTAACATGTTAGTATGTAGTGAAGGAATATATGGCATCAGATGTGTGTGTGTGTGTGTGTGTGTGTGTGTGTCTGGTACATTTGAAAATGCACAAAGTCTGTGCCTCATTTTTCTGTAGTAAAGTAGAGTAAATTATAAAAATACAATTGGAACAGTAAATTACACTGACTGCTGCTGTCACCTTCATTGCAGAAATTGCTGTAAGCATTATTCTTATGAAAACAATTATAAATAATTTTCAGAGGAATGCAGAGAGATGCATTTATCATCTGAGAAGTTAAGAACATTGACCATATACAGTACAATGTTATAAATTACAAGATTAATATGTAAAGCAATAATATAAACATCAGTCATGTATACAAAATACACAGACATATTCACGCATTTTCTTACAATTATGGACATCATAAAAATGGAAAATATACATTGTTCCTCCAAAGCATATAATAAAATATTATGTTAAATGTTGCATTATCGAACAATCTACACTGCCTATATAAACAACATTACTCTGGAAGTAAATGTTGTTCTAAAACTTCTTGTTCTTTGCAATCTTTTATTCACTTAAATTCTAATGTTATAATTCCCATATTTGTATATATTATATTTTATAAAATAGCACAAAGCTAATGTAACTACTATACATATATTTGGTGTAATATGAGAATCAATCCTGCTCTATATTAGGAGCTTTGATTACGGAAATTAATGTCTGTGGCACTGAAGTAATACTTGGGGAGGTCTAGATCAAACGAGCACCTGACAATGCTCATGCTTAAAGTTCTCACTGGTGTCATCATCTTCCCCATTTACACTGATCTCACCTGGCTTGCTACTACAGCTGCTACTTCTACTCCTTACATTGTTTCTGCTGGATATCTTGCTGATGCCTGTCTTTGAATCAGGCATCTGGATGGTGAACTTGGAGCTTGAGGTGTGGAGTTCAGTAAGAAGTGGTACCTCACATATGCACCCAGATGATGACCGACAGTGTCTTTGGTTAACCTTGTCAGTATTCTGGTGGTTGCACCTCTTAACACTATCACCATGACCATTACTACTGATCCCATCTGCACTGCTACTGCCACATCTACTGCTGCTGCTACTACTATCTTCGCTGGTATTGCTATGCTGGCTGGTGTTGTCATGGTCACCATCGTTGGCATGTGTGTGGTGGTTATGGTCAGCAGTGTGTTGACACAGGCTAGTTTGGCTAATGAGAGACATGCAAGAGTTGGTCTTGGCTGGGAACATTGTGTGGGGAAGGCTGAGGCCTGCCAAGGGGGAAGCTGGAGTGCGACCCAACAGTGGAGTGCCTAGCTGAACACCTGTCTGCAGAGACTCCTTAGTTATCTGTGGCAGTGCCTCTGTATCATTCCTCCCTTCATCTGAGGCTTCAGGGCTGTTATCTTCCTTGTCCAAGTGCAAGAGGTACAGTGCCACGATGTTGACAATAAAGCCAAGGAGTGTTAGAATGATGTTTTTGACTCCTATCTCTCGTAGCTCTGTGTAGAGGATTGATGAGGCAACAATCACAAGAGATGTAAACAAGACATAGTTTACAGACATGAAAACTGAACTGTTAAAAAGGTCAAGGGCTCGCTGCATGTACACTGTCTCAATTAGAAGACAGGCTATGAGTGCTACCAGACACACCCAGGTGGCCCAGTTGGTGAACTCATTAATGCCGCCGATTGTCTGCTTGATTGCTAGGCCGACACCCTTACAGAACATGACAGAGAGGGAGCCAAAGCAAGAACAGATTGTGATGTAGAGGAGAACATAGCGATGTCCATAACGTGGCACCAGGGCCATGAACAGCACTGACACTATCACCACCAGACCAGCATACACCAGGAAGCCAGGATGCAGCAGTTGTGACTGCAATTCCTCCATGCTGGCAATTTCTCTGTCTTTGGGGCCACAGAGAGTGACAATGACACAGCCCACCAGCACCAGCACACATCCTAGCTTCCCTAGCATACCTAGGCGCTCCTTGAGGAAGTATGGTGAGAGGGTTGCCGTCCACACGATGGAGAACACCCCCAGGGGTGTGACCAGGATGGCTGGGGCGAAGATGTATGCCACAAAGTTGCTGAGCTCCCCAAGTCCCATGAGAGAAATGCCCAGCCACCACTTGGGCAGCCGCAGGTAACCATAGCCACCATCAACTGCCCGAATCCCACCCCGTGCCTGAGGATATTTACACTCATTATACCTTGTCCAATACTAACATGCATGACATTATACATGATTATGAATAACAAATATGCCATTTTACATAATGTATATGACAAAATGTAATATTTAAATGATAAAATATGATGGGATACATGGCTGCATTTGTGCTAAATATGACTTCATATATGGTTGGATATGTGACATGTCATGTTTAACACAAAATAGATAAAACAAATGTGACAGAGCCTGCATAAACTAGAGCATCATCAGATACCAACAATGCCATCAAACTCTACAGACCACAAGTACACTACAAACTGCACGGTACTGACAGTTATCACATTCTACATTACACTAGTACAGTTTGCAATGTTGTTAATATCAATTCATGTTGATACCCTCAGACAAATTGATCAGGTACAGTACATGTAAATTAAAACATGGTTCCTCACAAAAGGGTTAATTATACTGGATAAAGTAAGTAGACAGGAAACGAGAGGATCAGACAAGGGAGATGTTAGTGATTGCCAGATGAGACAAAGTTCAGAGTAAGAACTGGACTGTATTGTTCTGCAGAGAGAGCTTGACAAACAACAGAAGTGGACAGTGTAACAGGTTAACATGGTTAGTGTATACCAAGCTGGTGAATGCAAGAATTGTATGGGAATAGACTCCTTCTGGTTCCTTTTAGAAAGCTTAAACTGTTGAAGCTTTCTCTTTCCATAGCTTGATCATGTTAAATTTTACATTACTAGTTTTCCTGAAAACCACTCAATACAGTAACTGGTTTAGAACCATGTTCCCCATGTCTGCTGGGTGAACAGTTAAAGCTTGTGACCAATCGACTCTCCCTGGCTAAGAAACAAAACTAGATAAAATCGCTGGTAAGGCATGAGGCAAGTGTGCCACCACTTTGTCACAGGAAAGTAACTGGGGGGACCCACCTCAATATCCCTGAGGGCGAGCTTCTTGACGATGACGGAGATACCAATGAAGAGGCAGGAGGAGAAGGCCAGGACCAGACCAATGAAGGTGTCAAGGGGGACCCACTGAGGCGAGTCTTCACCTGCGACCGTCTCGTTCACCCCCTGCACCTCGAGGCTCACGTTCAACATCTCACCCAAGCTGAAAAGTAAAATAATGAAGCTTAATCTATTGGCTATATTTGGACTGTCATCATTATATTATATTCCTTCCCCAATTGTGTCATGTTCCCTACGCCTAAGACTAGTATTCATCCTGTCATTTACCGGAGTCATTTTCTGGAAATTGCAGCTATATAGTGGTGCGATCATCATCCGTACCATCTTGGCTGCGTCCACAGCCTTAGTAAGATTTAATCATTTCTATACATTTCTCGCACAACATTTGTACTGTTCCTTACTGTACACAGTTTTCTATACAGCATATGAACATTCTGAAGGCTATTATATATATGGAGGTTCCTGAAGACTGTTATGGAATATGGAATCAGAGAAAATAGACCACACAAGAAGTTGACATAATAGCACTAGAGATCTGCTATGAGGATGATAAACTAATGATGATAAATGCATATAGTCCACCGCCAAGCAGCACATGGTCAAAGGAGGAGCTAGATAGTAAACGTGAAGGTCTTATAACAATAATGAGAGAGATTATAGCGAGAGCGGATAACGATAGAACTTGAAATCCATAGACTGGGAAGCATATGAAGCTAAAACAGAAGATTTTTGGACCTGTAAATTTGTAGACCTCATCCTGGAAACATTCTTGTATCAACATGTTAAACAAGCTACGAGGATGAGGGAAGGGGACGTTCCCTCCATGCTAGATTTGATATTTACCAGGAAGGAGGAAGAGATATTTGACATTCAGTACCTTCCTCCCTTGGGTAAAAGTGACCATGTCTTTTTGGGAATAAAGTATGCAATGCATTATAAGCTGGAAGAAAATAAGGAGGTTGAAGCAGTTGAAAAACCAGACTTCAGGAGAGGACATTATGGTGACCTTAGAAATTTTTTTAGTGAGTATAATTGGACAGACTTGATGCTAGGCAAGGAAGTGAATGAGATGTATGGCAAGTTTTGTGAAATATATGATAAAGGCACAAAAAAATTTATACCAAAACAGAGATGCAGAACTAGGAAACAGGATTGGTTCAATAGAAATTGCGAGAGGGCTAGAGACCGAAAGACACAAAAATGGAATCAATACAGGAAGAGGCCGAACCCCCAAACATACCAGCGATACAAAGATGCGAGAAACAACTACACGGCAGTGAGGAGAGAGGCAGAAAGAAATTTTGAAAAAGGGATTGCGGACAAATGTAAAACAGAACCAGGTCTATTCTATAAATTCATAAACAACAAATTGCAGGTAAAGGATAATATTCAGAGGTTGAAAATGGGAAATAGATTCACGGAAGATGAAAAGGAAATGTGTGAAACACTAAACGAAAAGTTCCAAAGTGTGTTTGTACAAAATGAAATCTTTAGGGAACCAGATACAATAAGAATTCCAGAGAACAACATAGAACACATAGAGGTGTCTAGAGACGAAGTGGAAAAAATGCTCAAGGAGCTCGGTAAGAACAAAGCAGCTGGCCCAGATGGCGTTTCACCATGGGTTCTGAGAGAATGTGCATCTGAGCTCAGCATTCCACTTCACCTGATCTTTCAGGCATCCCTGTGTACAGGAATCGTAGCAGACGGGTGGAAACAGGCTAACATAGTTCCAATCTACAAAAGTGGCAGCAGGGAAGACCCCCTCAATTATAGACCTGTATCATTGACAAGTGTAATAGTGAAAGTATTGGAAAAACTAATCAAAACTAAATGGGTAGAACACCTAGAGAGAAATGATATAATATCAGACAGACAGTATGGTTTTCGATCTGGAAGATCCTGTGTATCGAATTTACTCAGTTTCTATGATCGAGCCACAGAGATATTACAGGAAAGAGATGGTTGGGTTGACTGCATCTATCTGGACCTAAAAAAGGCTTTCGACAGAGTTCCACATAAGAGGTTGTTCTGGAAACTGGAAAATATTGGAGGGGTGACAGGTAAGCTTCTATCATGGATGAAAAATTTTCTGACTGATAGAAAAATGAGGGCAGTAATCAGAGGCAATGTATCAGAATGGAGAAATGTCACAAGTGGAGTACCACAGGGTTCAGTTCTTGCACCAGTGATGTTTATTGTGTACATAAATGATCTACCAGTTGGTATACAGAATTATATGAACATGTTTGCTGATGATGCTAAGATAATAGGAAGGATAAGAAATTTAGATGACTGTCATGCCCTTCAAGAAGACCTGGACAAAATAAGTATATGGAGCACCACTTGGCAAATGGAATTTAATGTTAATAAATGTCATGTTATGGAATGTGGAATAGGAGAACATAGACCCCACACAACCTATATATTATGTGAGAAATCTTTAAAGAATTCTGATAAAGAAAGAGATCTAGGAGTGGTTCTAGATAGAAAACTATCACCTGAGGACCACATAAAGAATATTGTGCAAGGAGCCTATGCTATGCTTTCTAACTTCAGAATTGCATTTAAATACATGGATGGCGATATACTAAAGAAATTGTTCATGACTTTTGTTAGGCCAAAGCTAGAATATGCAGCTGTTGTGTGGTGCCCATATCTTAAGAAGCACATCAACAAACTGGAAAAGGTGCAAAGACATGCTACTAAGTGGCTCCCAGAACTGAAGGGCAAGAGCTACGAGGAGAGGTTAGAAGCATTAAATATGCCAAAACTAGAAGACAGAAGAAAAAGAGGTGATATGATCACTACATACAAAATAGTTACAGGAATTGATAAAATCGACAGGGAAGACTTCCTGAGACCTGGAATTTCAAGAACAAGAGGTCATAGATTTAAACTAGCTAAACACAGATGCCGAAGAAATATAAGAAAATTCACCTTCGCAAATAGAGTGGTAGACGGTTGGAACAAGTTAAGTGAGAAGGTGGTGGAGGCCAAGACCGTCAGTAGTTTCAAAGCGTTATATGACAAAGAGTGCTGGGAAGACGGGACACCACGAGCGTAGCTCTCATCCTGTAACTACACTTAGGTAATTACACTTAGGTAATTACACACAATTTACAAATTATGTGGAAAGGAATTAAGGAACTCTAATAAAGACGATATCTAGAGGTGGTTTTGGATAGAAAACTGTCACCAGAGAAACACATAAAAAACATTGTGAGCGGAGTGTATGCATTGTTTTCCACCTTCAGACTTTAAATTAGGTACTTTTTAGTTTAGTAATAAAGAGATGCTTTTGAAAGGAGGCACTTAAGTTAGGTGATAATTAAGCCATGCAGCGTGGGGTGAGTGGGTCGACAGCTGATATTATTAATATTTAGATCGCTAATGGTGTGCAACGGTGTTTCACCTGTGGCCAGCTAACAGGTGTGACGAGCAGGAAGAACCCCCGCCCCCCCATCCCTTGCTTCCCTTGTAGCCAGCACACAGGTGTCACCATCAGAGACACGCCTCCCCCCCCCCCCGCTTTCCTTTGTTTCGTTAGCTCTGTCTAGTTGTATTTACCTAGATGTGCTTGTGGAGGGTTGAGCTCTGCTCTTTCGGCCCGCCTCTCAACTGTCAATCAACTGTTACTAACTACTATTTTTTCCACACACACACACAGACACACACAAATAATTAAGCCATGATAGAGCCCCGTAGGCCCAGGAATCTGTACATCAGTTGATTGACGGTTGAGGCGGGACCAAAGAGCCAGAGCTCAACCCCCGCAAGCACAACTAGGTTAGCACTAGGTGAGTACACATACAGGAAGCAGCCCGTAACAGCTGTTTAACTCCCAGGTACCTATTTACTGCTAGGTAAATAGGTACCATTTCTAGTATTCTATATTTATAATATTCTATGCACAATTTTCCTTCACTTCCAACTTATATGTTGTTGTGATACCCGTTCCACATCACTGTTCCACGAATCACCGTACACTATTACCTCAAGGTAGGTAACAGGGGCATCAGGGTGAAAGAAACTCTGCCCATTTTTGTTTATGCCTCTACCAGGGATCGAACCCGGACCCTAGCATTACGAGTCCAGAGCGCTGTCCACTCAGCTATCAGGTCCCAAAACTGTATGTGTGTATGAGTGAGTGAGTGAGTGAGCGAGCGAGCAATCCTGCGTGCGTCCGTCTCTGGCGGCAGTGGCAACAGAATCGCGAACAATTTGGTCTGGGTTCGAGTCCTTGCAAAGGAAGGATTGACTGGGCGCCAATTCTTAACTGCCCGCCCCTGTTCACCCAGAAGTAATTAGGTACCCGAGTGTTAACAGCTTGACTGGTCGTGTTGCAAGGAAACTAGTGAGTATAGGCTTACCATGAGCTATGAGAAGGGAAAGCTCTCAGCCTGCTAACGGGAATCAGACGTCATCTGTTCCTATACCCCACCTGTGTTAAAATTGAGTTGTTGTTGTCTAAGATTCAGCTACTGGGAATAAAGAGTTCCAGGTAGCACGGGCTATGGTGAGCCCGTAGTGGACTTACCTGGCACAGGAGCGGGGCAAGTAGCACGGGCTATGGTGATCCCGTAGTGGACTTACCTGGCACAGGAGCGGGGCAAGTAGCACGGGCTATGGTGAGCCCGTAGTGGACTTACCTGGCACAGGAGCGGGGTTGTCGGAGGTTGTTACAATGCTCTCAAACACGTTCACATTTTATAGAGAGAACCCGAGAGAGAAGGCATCGTCATGACCTAACTACTCTTAGCAATAATAACAAGAAGGAAAGAGCCATCAGCTGGAACATCATCCAGGAATCAGCTGGAACACCATGCTGGAGTAATGTTGTAAACAGTATTGTAAGCCGTGGAGAGGGGGGGGGCCGCTGCATGGGTAACAGCTTCTCCTCCGTATCAACCTACCCTGGCTTTGCGCCCTGGAGAGGCCACTCCAGACCGACAACCAGAGCGCAACTCCATAGTCTCCTGAGACTGATGGATGCCTACTACTACTGGAACATAATCCACGAGCCACCTGGAACAATATGTACCAGCCAAATGGAACAATATCAAGAAGTGAACTGGAACATTAGCCACGAAAACTATTGCAACAAAATCCTATGATTCGCCTGGAGCATAGTTCCTTGGA